AAACCGAACTACACACAGACGCCAGTATAGAAGGATATGGGGCGATTCTAATGCAGAAACCCCCAGGTGATAGCAGTTTTCACCCCACTTATTTTATGAGTAGGAAAACCTCTGATGCAGAGAAAAAGTACTCAAGTTACGAGTTGGAGGTCCTCGCGATCGTAGAAGCACTGAAAAGGTTCCGTGTTTACCTTTTGGGAATTTCATTTAAGATAGTGACGGACTGTTCAGCATTTCAACGGACGATGGAAAAAAGAGATTTAGCGACGCGTGTTGCTCGTTGGGCTCTGTTGTTACAAGAATTCGATTATGTTATAGAGCATCGTAAAGGTGTTAGAATGCCACATGTAGATGCTCTAAGTAGAGCTCCTGTAAACGTCTTATGCATTTCTATTGAAAATATCTTACCTAAATTAAAACTTGCTCAAGAAAATGACACTGAAATAAAAACCATTAAGGAATTATTGAAAACCTCAAGTTATGAAAATTATTGTAATAGAAATGGCGTACTATACAAGTTTATTGACGGTAAAGAATTGATAGTCGTACCGGAAAGTATGCAGACTGAAATCATAAAAGATGCTCACGAGAAAGGGCACACACCGGTATCAAACATACAGAGAAACACCTGGATGAATACTATTTCATTCCCAAACTTCGGCAGAAGATAGAAAACGTTATCGCGAATTGCGTTCATTGCATCTTAATAAATCGCAAAGCAGGGAAAAAGGAAGGATTTTTACATCCGCGATTCAAGGAGGACATTCCGTTGCATACTTATCATATAGATCACTTGGGTCCTCTGGAAAGTACCCATAAAAACTACAAGCACCTATTAGTAGTGGTCGACGCCTTTACTAAATTTACTTGGATTTATCCAACAAAATCTACGACCTCAGCCGAGGTGATAGCGAAGTTAGAGAATCAGAAGGTCATTTTTGGAAGCCCTTGTCAGATCATTTCTGATAGAGGAACGGCTTTCACATCCAGTGAGTTTTCTGACTACTGTGCTAAAGAAGATATTAAACATCATCTAATCACCACAGGCCTGCCGAGAGCAAATGGACAAGTCGAACGAATCAACCAAGTCATTATATCAGTATTAGCGAAACTGTCCTTAAAGAAACCAACCGAATGGTATAAACATACACACGAAGTTCAGAGAACGCTTAACTCAACATATCAAAGAAGCATTAACACCACTCCGTTCGAATTACTCTTCGGTACTAAAATGAACAGTAAGGGCACCGATCAGCTCAAAGAACTGATAGAAAGTGAGTTTCAATCTCAATTCGAGTCTCAAAGAGAAGAATTACGAAAGCAAGCCAAGAGGCAAATTTTCCAAGTCCAACAGGAAAATAAAAAGACATATAATGCCAAAAGAAGACAAGCACAGCTGTACAAAGTTGGTGACTTAGTGGCAATCAAAAGGACTCAATTCGGACCACACTTAAAATTAAGAGCGAAGTATTTCGGACCTTATAAGATCAAGAAAGTTAAGGGTGGTAACACCTATGACGTAATAAAGGAAGGATGCCATGAGGGGCCCATATGCACTACCACATGTGCCGAATTCCTCAAGAAATGGACGGCGCTTTAAAATTTTTCACGAACACTTATTTATGTTATTGTATATTCTTGCTTGTTGCTTTGTTTTTTTTTTTTTTTGTTGTTTGTTTTGTTTTTTTGCAGTGTCCTGGAGGGCCAGTTCCACCCTCGGATGGCCGAAATGTAGTGCCGATCGCTTGGAGCTGTGATGAAAACCAGATGCCGTGACGTCATTCTCTCTCTCTACGAGCTGCGAAGGCGCCAAGCAAAATTAGGGGAATTACCGTTTTGAGATGATAGACGATTGACGTGAAAGCAGAGACGCTGCTTCTGTTCAAAAAGAACTTTGACGAATCATTACTTGTTTAATTCTCTTAAATGTTAAATTTATGTAATAATCGTTTTGTCTAATTAAAATGTCTTTCGTTAATTAATTTGTTCATCGTTTAAAATCCCCACATATATATAAAATAAATTAAAAATAAATAAATAAAATTAAATAACAGAATTAAATCTACATCATCATAAGAACAATACAATTAAACAAAACATTTTCTCCCCTGCTGCATGCAATAAAATATTCTATTATTTTGAACAGATCAATTCAAAAGAGAAGAAAATTTTCTCTAATCCTAAAACTATTTTTATTCAAGTTTTGGTGTTTACCAATGCTTCCCAAATTTATTCATTGCCACGGAATGTAAACCTAAATCTTCAGCTTTTTTATCAGTTAAATACATAGTGATTAATAAAAAATGTACTTGTGGACAATGGTACAGCTAGAGGTGGGCAGTCAGCCGTGGACAACACATTTTTAGCGATGGCATTTTTATGTGAAACAATGATTTATAGAAGTTAATCAGGTGGATCATAGACACAGGTGGAAGAATAATTAGCTTCTAAATTGACATACAGAATAAAGCTGAAGAAAAGAATCTTTAAATCAGGGGTTCTCAAACAGGAAAGATTCTCCCCCAACCCCTGGGAAGATTTCATATTTGTAGGGGGAGGCAGTCAGCCTTTTATTTATCTCTTATGTATTTAGCTTTATTTTATGAATATAAAAACTAATTTTATTGAAGTTTTGGTATGTATCAACATTTTCTATACCTTTTTTGATGTATATTTTATAAAACACGTCAAAAAATAATTTAAATCTAAATAAATGCATAAATGTATTTTTCAAGTTTTGGAAAAGAGAAGAAAGAATGATTTACCAATGGATAAAAGAAAGCATGGAGTAAAAAAAGGTTGAAACCACTGGCTTAACTGTTTTTTCATATCCAATTTGGTACAAAAAAATGTCACTTTTTTAAATTTAAATTTCATTTAAAGTTTGGTGTCAGCAGAGTACAATTTCTTTTTAAATGTCCTTACTATTAAATTTATCCATTTAGAGCAACTTTTTGTCCTTAACTGTTAAATTTATGAATTTAGAGCAACAACTAAAAATTTTGTTTTTATAAAAAATATTTATAGTATATATATATATAATATTATAATTTTATTATTATTTACAGCATGAAATTTCTTATCCCAAACTTAACTTGTATTTTGTGTTTCAGAAAATCTCTCCTTGTATATTTCATTAAAAAAAATTTTCCCACAAAATTAGGCATAAAAATACTTAACTAGAGATCAGGCTTCGAGGACTGCTTTTGCCATTTTTTGACAAAATTATGAACTAATACGGGCAATACATAAATGGAGTGCATACAATTTTCTAGCCGGTTACGCTCTGCAGGCAAACCAAATGAGTGTAGTAGTCAGTGTATTGCAAATGACATCAGTGTAAAATAAGATTTTAGAAGTGGTGTATTCTCAGTACAATTGGCAAATTTCTTTGATGCTAGAAAAAATTGGTCAGAAGAAAGCAATCTGAATCCATTGAGTCTTGATTTCTGTTCCATTCAGAAATAATCGTTTTTACAGAAAGTTACAGAACAATATTTTTTTTTTTTTTTTTTGTTTCATCAACATTCTGCAGACAGATTTAATGTTCAAGGTCTCAGTTATTTTCTTTCAATGTTTTTAATTAGCATATACAAATGCAGTGCAGGATTTATGTATAAGCTATACAAGCTATAGCTTAGGATACCCACTTTCTCGGGGGTGTCCCCAAAAATTATAAATAGAGTATAATAGACTTCCCATATCTGAAATAGCTTAGGGCATCATCAAGTTTAAATCCGGCCTTGTACAAATGCACAAATATACTATGCACATATACAATATATAATTACCATGTATAAATTATGATACTCAAATATGTATTCATTATTTGTATATCATTGAAAAAAAAAACATTTTTGTTTAAATTTTACTGTATTTGATAGTACAGTACAAAGTCTTTAATCCGGATTATAGATAATCAATTTAAGTCTGGTAAGATAGAATGCAGAAATTATAAAATTAAAAATATGAAACCGTAATTTATGAAATAAAGAGCAATTATGATCTAAAGGGTTTTTGTATCAAAATTTACAAAAAAAAGCTTAATATTTATTTTTTTACTTTATTAAACATTTCTTTTCTTGTCAATCGAAATTTTTTCATTTTCACTAACCTCTCTGTCACTTTCTTCATGCCTTTATCCATTTTTTGCAGCAATTCCACTTTTTGTTTGATAGACATCGAAATATGCTTTCACTTTGTAGATCCTTTGGCAGCTCCAGAATCGGAAACTCTTTTTGACATAATCGAAAGTTCAAGCTTACTTTTTATAAAATTGCTCTAACAGTCTGCAAAAAATAATAAGTCTGGATCCAATTAGAAGATTAAGGAACAATGCAATCTACAACATTAACTGAAATAGATAATTAGACAATATTAGCCTAGCTTATACGTCCATTATACATTAAACGTGCATGCGTAAAGGTATTATGCGCATGTGTAAATGCATATGTGCATGCGCTGCGCAGAAAGTTTGTAGCTTTGAGGTCTGGATTATATATCATTCCGGATTACGGACATCCGGATTAAAGACTTTGTACTGTACTACTTAACATTTACAAATGACACATAGTACATGTTTTATGATTTTAAGCAGTAAGAATGGGAAAGCTAACTTTTTTTAAAGCGTTAACAATATTTTATCTTAACAATGCTCTGGCCTTTAATCCATCAAGCAAGTAGAAGTTACTTTATACATACTTATTCTTAAATATTACTGTTAATAAGCAAGCAAATTTTAAATTTTAAAATAACTGTCTTAAATTTTAATATAAATTATTCTCAATTGAAAGATGCAGAATACATAGCATAAATGTTGCTATATGAAACACAGTAACAGGAAATTTATCATAGTTAAACTGATAGTTATTTATAGTCAGTGTAGGAATTAAAAATCAAATTTAGCTGCTTACTTTTTTATTTTTAATAAATAACCTCAAAATTTTATTAATTATATAATTTTGTTTCAAGAAAAATATTCTACATTAAATCAACAATACCTGCAAATTCACAAAAATGATTCCCAATATCAAGAGCTTGATAATTGTAGTCAGCATATTCATAGTCTATAAATGTTACTTCATCTAAAAAATAAAAATAAAAACTGCTAAGTTAAGTTTCTTGACAAATATAAATTTATCTCATTCCAACTAGAAAATATAATGGAATTTCTTACTTTTTTCTTTATTGTAAATAACATTTTTCAATAAAAGATCATTGTGACAAAATACAACAGGAGATTCTAAAGTAGTTAAATGTTTCTTCAGCGAGTTTATTTCTATCTCCAGTACATCTTTCGATGGAATGCAACTTTTAAACCTAAATAAAATATAATTTAATTCATAATAAAACATTTTAAAAATAAATTTCAAATTTAAATGGCAATGAAAAGCTAAAAAAAATTACCTCTCATCCTTTATAGGATCGCAGAATTCTGTTGGTATGAGCTGGAGATATTTATGTAGTACTGGGAATAATGATGGCTGTGGGATGACACCATTTACATTTGATCGAATACTGTGCATTTTTGCAAGCCTCCTAGCTATTAATCTACAAATTTATTGAAAGAGGAAAAAAAACCATATAATATCAAACTGCAATAAAAATGGTTACAGTACAAAGACTGAGATCTGGAATCACTGAAGTCGCAATGATTCCGGATCTCAAGAATTATTGGGACTTCAGCAATTCTGGATTTAGATCATTAGTTTAAATATGCAGTAAGCTGATGTGTAAACAGGAAATACTGGGTCTTATTATTTAGATCAGACAGGAAAATGCTAAACCTCCCCAGAACCACAAAAGTGCGATCCTGATCAACAACATCCATACAGTTTTAATTAATGTATTGTCAATGGCCCCAGTGCAGGCAGCAGATGCCTGAAAAAGACATGCAGGAATCTCAACTAGTCCCGAGAAAAACAACGTTTACAGCACAGCTGTTTCCTTTTATTGATTATATTTTTTATTGATTTTCATTGACTATATTTATTTCTCCATTTCTAGACTATACTACTTTATTTTATTTTTTTATTTATTTAGATGGTAGTTGAGAGGGAGGTTTTTTTATTATTTTCATTTTATTTATTTAATTCAAGCAGTCAGGAGATTAGATCATTTCGGATACTGAGCAACCAGATTTCAGACTCTGAACTCTACAAGGTATTCAATGTGTTACTCAAGATCTGCTGATTCACTGTAAATCAAAGGCACCAACATATGAGAAACAACCCATACTTAATCTATGTTATCTCCTTAGTGAGGTTCCCAGTGAGGTCGGTGCTGACCCCCTAAAGAGCCGTTCCCACTGAGGCTTATCTGAGCTAACGGAGTCAGTTCCCTGTGTCAACTAGCTCCGCTATGCCTGCAGTACAAATTTTTCAACTTGCTGCCCAATGGAGAAAAACTGGTTTTGGAGCTGGGTCGGCTACATTAGTTGTCCCCGTTAGCTCAGATAAACCCCAGTGCGAACGGCCGTTTAAAGTTGATGAAATTTTAATGGGGGTTTATGACAATTTAGTGGATTGATAGTGGAATATGCACTGGCAATTGATCAAAAGAATCAAGATTCTAATGATTCCAAAATGTTTTATAAATAAAATTTATAATTAATTATTTATTGATATAAAACTGTACAATGTAGTAAAGAAGAAATCATATAAAATAAATATAAGGTTGTATAATATAAACTTACATAATAAAATAAACTTGTATAATTAACTTACATAATAAAATAAGCTTGTATAATTCATTTACATAATAAAGTAAACTTTTATAATGAATAACCTATGTTCCATATCTTCATTGTTAGGTATAAGACACTTTTCAAGAACTTTTGAATTATGTCAGGTTTAATTTCATTCCAGATTTTTATTATCCATTCACACACCGTTTCTGGACAAGCATGACACAACTGGTCTCCTTCAGTAAATGTTTTTTAACCTCTAATACCTCTTTCATTTCTCACATAATAATTACCTTATTTAGGAGTATATTTACATGTAAACAGACTTTTTTTGGTCCAGTTTTAAATTAATAAATGTAAAAAAAGAATCAAATTGACCAAACGATCATCTACAGTTTGCAATGAAAATAGCTTCTAGTAATTTTTCTTCAAGGTTACAAACTTTATAAAACTCGAAATACCATGAGATATTTGTTGTAGTTGAAACTTGTAGTAAAAAATACAGAAGTTTGGGTACAACTTTGTTATACCCCCCAAAAATTACGCGCCAAATCTGGCACTCCCTACGGACTTTTTAGGGTTGCTGTTTCTTATTTTGGTGTTGCCAATTTAGGTATTTTCAGCTTTTAGGTTTTTGCTGTTGCCAAATTTAGTATTTTCTTATATTTTGTACCATTTTTTGAGTTTTTTTTTAAAGTTTTGTGGCAACAATTTTTGGATTTCCTATATGTTTTACCGCCATTTCATTCATTCGCCATTTCTTTGTGAAGTGATCAAGCGGATTTTTGACTTTCTGTATTTTGCTGCAAATCTGGTTGTATTTTCCAATTATATTTTTTTTCTATTAATTATTTTTATCTTTTAGCTTTCAATATGCCTACTGTATATAGTGTTGTTGAAAAGTTTCAGGGAATTTTGAGTCGGAAAATTGATAGTTGTGCTTCATTTTCGTCGGGTAGGCCGACAGTTTGAAGGCCATGTATTGTTAATTGTTTATTTTTGCATCATTTGGCTCAGGATATGCAAATGTTAATTTATTTTTTGATGGAGGTTGGATTGTTGAAGGCTGCAGTGTGTAAGAAATGTGGGTCTGGTATGAAACAGAAGTTGAAGAAGTCATATTCGGATGGATTTGTGTATGTTTGTCGCAAAATGGTAGGTGGTAATCAGTGCAATACTGAAATGTCGATAAGGCATAATTCTTGGTTTTCGAAGTCTAAGCTTAAGTTGTTTGAGGTTTTGTTGATCACGTATGAGGTTTTGTTGATCACGTATGAGATTTTGAGAGGCACTAAGACAGGTAGGATTGCAGAGGAATATGGTTTCTCTAGTACTACTTTAGCAGATTGGAGGCAATTCATTAACGAGACCATTTTGAATTATATTGAGGAGAATTCTGAGAAGGTAGGTGGTGATGGTGTTGTTGTGAAAATAGATGAGTTGAATTTGGTGGTGTTGAAAAAAAATCAGGTAAGGTTTTTTTAGTTGCTGTGCATGATAGGTCTCAGGAAACGTTGTTGTCGGTAATTAAGGAATGGATTAAGCCAGGTACATCTGTTTATTCTGATTGTTGGAAAAGTTATGATTGTTTGACGGATGAGGGTTTCGAGCATTTAAAGGTAAATCATTCTTTAACATTTGTAGACCCCAATTCCGGGTGTCATACAAATACAATTGAAAGTACGTGGAGGCATGTTAAAGCTTCTTTGCCTACCTACAATCGCAAGGCAGATTATAAATTTTACCTTGCGATGTACATGTTTCGTAAATCATATTTAGCGGCTAATGTTGATTGTTTCAATAAATTTATTGAAATTGCTGCTGGGGTAAATTGGGAGGAATTCAAAATTTCTGTATAAATAATTCTTTTTATTAGATTGCCGACATGTATTTTCAATTGTATTTGTTAAAATTTTTGTGTAAATTGTATATAATATGTTATTCAGTGTCATTTATTTGTATTTTTTATGTATTCATTGTATTTTTTATGTATTCTTTTTTTTTTGTATTTAATGATTCCGTAATTTTTATGTATTAATTATTTGCATTTAGTGAGAATCCATCTTGGCGAGGAAAAAGGCGCCAAAAACAGGTATTTTGCTTGGCGAGAAAAAAGTCGCCAAATTTCCGATTTGGGGGGTATATCAAAGTAGTTCCGAAGTTTGTAATTATTTATATACCCAAATGTATGTATTTTTTATGTATGTCTCAAAGAGAAATTCAGTAAATAAAAGAATGAGAATAGGCTGTCATCATTTATTGTCAAGTTCTGTCCCACTTAAAAAATTTTCGTAATTTATTTTTTTTTAATTTGAGTTAAAAGTAAGTAATTTAGTGGTTAATTTAACATATTAGAATCATCTGAAATAAAACAACAGTCTAAAATTTAATACTTAGCTGTTAATACGTTTGAATTACAAAGTGTAATCAATAGAAATTTCTTGCAGATTTGGACAATTAATGAGTGTAAGTTGAAAATTTTTCCTTTCTGACATTATTATTATTTACGTATGTTTTGATAAAAAATTAGTAAACACTTTAAAATTTACTTATAAAATTTTGTTTTGTTGAAAAATAAAACCTTTCATTTTGTTAAAAAATTTTTTGTTTGTTTTTATACTCATAGACCCCTTAAATATGGAGGCCAATAACTTGGCAAATTTATCAACCCTTTTATGCAAAAGGCCTCAGAAACTACAAAAAAACCTAAAGGCTTTGGCCCTGGAGGAAATTAAGTCTGTAAGCATTAAAATAAATTTAACACGATGTAAAATCAAAATCTATTCCCATTCTCGGATTTAAATTAGCTTCATGATGCTATAAATGCATTTTAAAAGCTGCAGTTTAAATAATGACAGTGTTCTTTTTAAGGTTAAAGGTTTTTAAGTTTAGGGCAAAGTCCTTTCCATCAAATTGGACAACAAATTCCACAACTACACCTTGTCACCTTCGTTGACTCTATGTCCTGTAGCTCTCATGTCATATTGGGTCTTCATCTTCTCTGTTGCCAAGTTGACTCGCTCTCGTGCATAATTATGCATCCCTTCAAACTGTGCTTGGAGATTTTGAATGCACTCGTCAGGTGATGAAGGTGAACCTTGAGGGCGACCAAACAAGAGATAATAAGGCAGACAAAAGTCACGAACAAAGCCTTGTCTTGACAGTACACTTACCAGGAAGTCTTACCATCATATGTGGATAGCTTCAAAGTAGGATGACAAGGCATCGGTAAAAATTTAAAACCATCAGAATTGCTTCCTGATGAAGTTAAGGTATCAACTTCTTTGGTGATGGCAGAAATCCTCTCTTCAATTTTTTCTTTAATAGAAGAAACTCTTTCTTAGTTTCTTTAACCCTATTTTCAACTGTTTCTATTCTGCTTTCCATAGCTTTGAATCTGTTTTCTATTATGGCAGTAATTTCTCTTTTCATTTCCTGTTCGACTGTCTCTATCTTTCTTGAACAGTTTCAACTCTTCTTTAACAGATTCTTGACAAGTTTCCATCTTTTTTCAAACAGCCTTCATCTCTTCTTAATGGAATCTTGGCTAGCTTTCATCTCTTTTTTAACAGAATCTTTCTTGCTTTCATCTCTTCTTTGAATGCAGGAAAGGTTGCCACCAGCTGTCTTGCTCATCCATCGCTCTTGTCACTGGCATTCAATCTCACTTCTGACACCAAAATGTGCTGCATGTATATGGGTTCATAATAGATTGAATGCATACAGCTCTCATGATAGGCTGATAAAATTTATTTCATCAAAAGAAACACTTCAGAGATCTGGAACTTTCCACAAAAATAGTCATACAACTCTTCACAATATCAGTAGATATATTTCAAACTACTATGAGAGTTAAACACAATGCAGAGTGCAGCTAAAGAGTGAAGCTAAACTGGAGAGAGTACTCGGAACTCATGCTAAGCTAATAATTAACAATGACAAAAACTGACAGCAGACGCTCTCTCCGGCCTTATATAGTTTTCAACCCAGCCACAGAGATATTTCAAGTACTTTTGCTTCTTGAAATTGCTGGAAGGCAATATGAGGGAATTATGCTAACAGCAAATAGTGATCAATTACATTTATTCACTTACAATACTTATTACGGTAATACAAGAACCAGATCAAAATGTCGCCCAATTTGGTGACTGGCGATTTCTCGCGAAATTTGGTGACAAAAATTAGTCGCCAAAAACCATTGCCAGCTTGTCGATACCTCACCAAATTACCGAGATACCCATTTATTTACTCAATGTTCATTTACCATTCATGCTTTTCTGGCATAGTGTGGCTCTCCAGAATTTTCATGTTACATTGCACAGAAAAATACAATTTCCCACATAACTGCACTAAAATCATCTATCTATCTACAAAATTTGAAACAATATTTTCCTCCAGTTCATAGCAACAAAGCATGGATAAGAAACCTTTTCACAATTAATATAGAATCATGATGCTGAATCCATAACTGAACTCCTTGTGATATAGTGCTTAAAGACAGCTTCAAGAAAATACCACTGTCAGATATTTGGCTATTCTGACCTCGAGAATATTTATTTTGGGCACAAAAGATAAGCAAGTTTCTACTGCCTTTTGTTAAAATACTTCTTTTTCTAAAAAAATAAGTACAAAAACTGAGTAGATGATAAACCAGATTTAAGAATAAAGTTACCAGCTTTTAAACAGACCTTAAAGTTCTAGTTAACAAGAAACAACATCACACTTCCCTTTATTTTTATTTATTTATTTTTTGTATGTATTTCTGTTAATTTCACAATAAAGAAAAAATATTCGAACATTAAAATTTGTTTAATTTACCAATAAGCTATAAACATTTTTGCTGAGTAATGAAGGAAAATATTAAAACAACCAGGTCGTCGAAGAAAAAATGTTTAGGGAACCCTCATATAAGTAATATACAATAATTATAAGATCAAAATAATTTTATACACATACATTTTTTGTTGAATCTTTGATATAGCCCACATGCTTAAAGTTTATCTATTTGAACAAAACAACAAAAAGATTATAAAAGTCTTTTTGCTATTTTGCATTATTCCTACAAATTTTACTGTACTTTTTAGCACACTGTTTATGTATGTATCTGTACATATGTGTGTGTGTATGATTTTGTTAGTAATACTTACTGTGATATGATGGGGTCTCGCACCGTTTTAGTGTCCAAAACCTCGCCAGGTGAAAATCCATAACAAAGTCCATTCGTGAAGGCACAATATAATGGTGCACAGAGTCCCGCATCACACATCATCTGCATGTTCCGAACTTCCAAATCTCGGTCGATGAAAAGCTCGGTTTTCTCCCCATACACTCGAATCAAGACGGCATTGTCCGGATTGTCTTTCATATAGCATTTCACAAGATGATTTGTTATTCCGTCTTTAAAAAGCTGTCATATAAATACATATTATCAGCATAATATAGTATATCATTATCACACATTTTAAATAATAACTATACATTTATAACAGCTTTTCAGTATTCTGTTACATAAGAAATCAAAAGGTTACTTAAATATAGTCCAAGGAAATTTTTTATATGTGTTAAATGATGAACGTAGAGGAAGACCCCGGTAAACTAGGACTGATGGGCCACATGCAGCTTACCCTTGGCACAAAAGTCATATTTCTTACAGTACTGTATTCTTTCTTTCTTTAGCTGCTTCTTCAAGACAGTTCAGTTCACAGTTCATTTATAGATTGTTTGATAGTCACAGTTCATTTATAGATTGTTTGATAGTCACAGTTCATTTATAGATTGTTTGATAGAAATTAAGCGAGCTACAACTTGAGATTTTCTAAATCTGTAGTGTGATACTGGTTTAAAAGAACTGTACAGTCTTAAAGAAATCTGCAAATTTTACAATGCTCTTAATTCAGACAATTTAATAAACTTGAGGATTTTTTAGCCCCCCCAAAAAACTGGTTGTTTTTAAATCACGACATTTTTTGTACAAACACTTTTTTTATCATTATAGATTTCTTGCATGATGCATAGCATCTTTGAGAAGTCATCTAAAACCAAAATCATAAAAACAACCTCGTATTTAGCGTAAGTATAATGAAACACTCAATCGATTTCGAGGGCAGCTAAAAGTCCCTCCTCATCAGGAGAAAGAAATACCAAAGAAGAAGAAAATAAAGGAGAAGGAGTCTCAGAAACACGTGGTCCTTATCAGCACTGCACGTGGTTATAACTGGATTTTTAATCAGAGTTGCACTGGCTGCCTACTTTTACTGAGCCAGGCTATCTGATCAAGCATAAAGGACAAGAAAAATTAAAAAACAGTAAAAGTAGGCGGCCAGTGCAACTCTGATTAAAAATCCAGTTATAATCACATGCAGTGCTGATAAGGACCACATGTTTCTGAGACTCCTTCTCCTTTGGTATTTCTTTCTCCTGATGAGGAGGGACCTTTAGCTGCCCTCGAAATCGATTGAGTGTTTCATTATACTTATGCTAAATACAAGGTTGTTTTTACGATTTTGATTGTCACATTAACGTGTTTCTGTTCTAGTCAAGTCATCTAAAGTTTAAACTACAGAATCACAGTATAAAAATTTTAAATTGTTAATGTTACTCACATCAATCTAATTACAGCTATCGTCAAAGTGACTCTTTTTGTATATGGATGCATTATTCAACATTGTCTCCATTAAACACACTGCATTTATGCCTCTGCATATAGCTTTTCTCGGTTATACCACATGTATGATATCAGACAGCCTCATCTTCTTTTATTAGGAACTCAATGATGGTATATTGTTTGTATTTTATAACAATTACTTACTAGCATTGAAGGATTTCATTACAGGAAAGGCTACTCCAGCAGGTACAGGTTGAAGCAAGGTTGGCACCTTTGCATTCTCCTATTAAGTTTCCACCCCAGTTTTGAGGAAAAACAGCCCCAGAGGGCACAGTCCATTGAAGTCTCCCACCCCTCTTCCTCTACCATTAACCTCTCAAAAAGGACTTTCAACTGTCCATGCCTTTTCAGAACCCTCTTGTCGCACAGACACTATACAATTACAAACATCCATGCCTTCTCCGGGATTTGAATTCAGGACATTGGTATGGAAGGCGGAGTCACTAAGCACTAAACCAGCTGTACGGCTAAGCCCCTGCAAAAGGTACAGGTATAAATAGGCCAGCACCTCTGTAATACCACTAGTGATTGAGGTATTGTTGAATCTAGATAACTGTTAAGATTCAATCCTAATTTTGAGTGAGAAGACACTGGGAAATGAAGCCATACTGACAGGCACATGTAGAATCTAGGCCAGTAACTTTGTAGTATCCCAGGTGATTGAGGGATTGATGTACCTAGCTAACTGTTAAACTTCTTACCTAATTTTGAGGGCAAACTACCAGGGAGATGGTCTGATCCTTGTTCATTAAAATAAAAGATGGTTTATCGAGAATCAGTTGGGGTTATATCAAACGAAAGTGCACATGTTGTAAGCATGTTTTTCACTATGCTTATCAACAATTGATGTTAAATTCTGTTGCTTGGTGACAGTTTCCTGGTTAACCGGATGATAACATAAGTACCATCAGTTCTTTTCCCCTCCATTTTATCACACAATTCAGTATGAAAGCTATTACATTTTTCATTTTATGAAGCTATTATTATTGAATTATGAAGAAGTTGAAATTTAAAATTTTACACAATTAAAACCTTAATAGGTATGAAATTAATTACTGAAATCAGTTTCATTTATGTATTCTGAAATATTTGTATTTATTTTCATATTAAAAAATAGCTAAGAAATAAATGACTTTTCCTTACTATCATCAAATATTGTGACTACGTGCATGCAACACATCACTGAATACAACTGTTTCAACTGGAAACTTTCTGTTCAAACTGTTATTTAAAGAAACATGTTTTTCAGAAAATTTCTTATTCCTTGATGTGTCACTAGATATGATAAGGCAATAATACTGAAATCATTTGAACCTATGGTTATTTGAGGAAAATTTCATTGCAATTTTCATAGCAGTTCTTTACAAAAGTGCAGTCTAAATCACCGTTTCTCCACCACAGTCCCTAGAAGCTTTAACAGATTTCAAAAGAAAAACTGTGCATATGTATTTATCATAACTACCTTAGCAAATGTCGCCAAATTTTCAAAATGTGCTAAATTTTGTTAACTATATGCGTAACCTATCTTCATGCTACCATGCTCAAAGCAATCCTTAATTCAATTTTAATAGAAAAAATGGCAGTTAAATTTCTGCAGCAAAACAGTATTTTGCTGCAAAATCATTAAAGGAAACAATGATGAGATTTTTCTGGCAGATAGCTGATGCACATTCTAGAGTTTGTGGAATTCTCTGATATTTTTTAAGAGAAACAGATCACATTTTGTACATGGAGATAAGAAAAGTGAAAAAAAAAAAATTACAAAAGAAGTGTTTATTTTTGAATACATCATATATGGTTATTTTATAACTAAAATTTGTATTTGAAATTATCATTCTTTTATATGCTGATAATGTTTGCTGACTTATGATAAATATTCACAGTTTGAGAACATTTTTAAGAAAATCACAATAACAATAAAAAAAACTAGACAGATATCATAGAAAGGTCCAGAAATTTGCAATTAGATGACAATCATATTTTCTGGAAGAGAAAATTTTCAGAAAAGAGAACATTATTCAAGCATCTACTAATCTACAAAATCAGTCAGCCGGATGTAATTGTTTCATTCTATTCCAATTAATTGGCATTATTGCGGCAGAATTTACTGCTAGTATTACTGCATGCTATTCTTATAGTGAACTATGTTTCCATAAGTACCCAGAAGCAGTGGCAGCTCCTGGGATGAGAGGTATAGCAGCTGTATATCCCTCTGAAAACTAAAATAAAAAATGTTGATTTCCTTTGATGCTTAGAGTTAATAATATATGCATAAAATAGTAACTACTAAGATCACTGTCACAAAAGCTGAGCCAACACAGTGGCGCATAGGGTGAGCCGGAGTGCTTTCGCTATGCGCCACAATTTCAGGCCGATCAAGAAACTCTAACGATCGAATTGACACAGACAACTCAGGAAGACACAGAAAATGCACAGATACGACAAATGACAAAATCTATTCTGGAATAAAATATCAACTTTTAGAATAAGTTTGTCTGTTCGCGTATATCTGAAACTATCTCAATACACTAAGACAGTAACGAAATATTTGCAGACTAAAGGATTAGATTACATCCTAGCATATGATATGGCTAGGGAGGCTACAGGCTCTTTAAAAGCCATTTCTAGAAACTTAGGTTTAATATTTAACACATCAAAATCATTTGCAATGGATTGCAATAATTATAGAAGAACTACCTGCTAGAAGATGCCAAAATGTGAAACAAATGGACGATGAAGAATCGTCCGATTACTTCGTCCGATTAATCAAACAATTCGAAGTTACTATCTTTAATTTTATAATGCATAAAACCATTTCATCCATCAAAAATAGGTTTAAATGGCACAGGAAGTTATATGAAGACATATCACTTCTCGATCCCAAAAACTTTCCGTAAAAGCCATTGTCGCCAAACTCTTTCGACTATTTATCTATATTATTAATGCACTATGCAGGTGTAACAATTGATAATCTTAAGGATGAATATCAGGATCTAGTAAGTAAATTGGAAATACTAAAAAATTCAATTGAAAATCATTATTTTAAATTTGATAGTGTCAGAAGGAGAGAATGCTTTATCTATTAATGAGCATTCATGCAAAGCTAAATGCAATTTTTGTCAAAATTGCATCTTGTGTGTATATAAATTACACTTGAACTATAATTTATATAGTAATGCATACGCCAATGTCTTTTTTGTTAATAACTTTGTACTCACCCTAGTTGAAAGCGAAAGAACTTTTTTTTAATTAAAAATTGTAAAAAGTAGATTAAGGAGTACTACAATGGTGTATTTAATTATGGCAAAGCACACTAGGGCTATCTGCCTAAGGGAAGGAATGCCTTTCGTGGAGGACTTTCTAAGGGAAACTGGCTTGTATACACGTTACACATGGGGAAAACCACGAAAACGCCCATGCAGCTAGCTCGTTCGCGGGATTCGAACCTCGGACCGAACTACCAGTGTTCAGCGACTTTACCGCTCGGCCGCTGGTGGGCCAAGGAGTACTACGAAGCAAGCTAATTTGGATTCATTGCTATTGATGATCACAGAGAAGGATATTTTGGCTAATGCAAAAACTGAAGATTATATAAACTGAAGGAAATATTTTTATACTGGTACCTGGAATTAAAAAATATTTAAATTGCTAATTATGAATCAACCATGTTTTGTTTATTTTTTTTTTCGTATTCTTTACACATGCGCATTTGATTTTTCCTTCCATAATAAAACATGTGAAGATTTTCACTTGAAAATTCTGATTCTTAATTTCACTTACGCACTAAATAAAATACCTCATTATGGGAAAAAAATCATGTAAGCATAAATTTGTGAGATTAATAATTTGGCTCTGTAGCTGAGTGTGCTTGGCATATATCTCAAACTGAAACATTCACCTTTTTTATACCCCTGAGGCCAACCTAGCGAGTAATTATTTTATTATATTTTGCTTTCATCACCGCATGTTTATCAATACATGACAGCTTCAATAATAACTCATGCAGCAATGGCTAAACTTTTTTTTATATTAGAAATTGAATAACAAGAGTATGGCAACCTTTTATGCTAACATTAAGCTTGGCGATGATTATAGATTTTTAGATGCTCTAAGAAATGTTGATGAGGAAAAATTCCACAAAAATTTCTTTTCATATGCTAAAAATAGATTTTGTTAATGAAATTCATAGGCCAAAAAGATTACATTTAGTGCTATTTTAATTAAGAATAACTGATATGTTATTCACCATAAACCCAGAAGCGGCGGCAGGATATGATGTCACCGGACAACAGAATTTAGGGAAGATGAAATTTTTGGAATTTAGGAAAGCACCAAGAGGCAAAATTGAGAGATGAGATGTTTTTTATGATTTAAGGAAAGCACTGTGATCCAAAGTTTAGACGCGGGAAAAATCGCCAATCTTTTGATACACAATCAATAATGTATAACGGACGCTATTATTATGGCAATTTTATAAAAGCTAAGCTTGAACTTTTGATTATGTCGAAAAGAATTTCCAATTCTGGAGCTGCCAAAGTATCTACAAAGAGAAACCATGTTTCGATGTCTATTTAACAAAAACTGGAATTGCTACAAAAAATTGATAAAGGCATATCCGTCTCAAAATTATGCAAGGAGTATGGCATTAAAAAGTCAACTGTATATGACATAAGAAAAAGGAACTTTTTTAATTTTTTGTGAAAGCAACTTAAACAACTTACATTGAAAGAAATGTTTAATAAAGTAAACAAATAAATATTAAGCTTTTTTTGTAAATTTTGATATCCTTTAGATCATAATTGTTCTTTATTTCATAAATTACGATTTCATATTTTAATTGTATAATTTCTGCATGCCATCTTACCAGATTTAAATTGATAATCTAATATCCAGAAAAATCCCAAATCCGGAATCGCCAAAGTCCTGACAAATCCGGATTTCGGACTTTGTACTGCATATATATGTGTGTGTGTATGTGATTTAAGTGTTGCTTTTCTGTGAAGCTATATTTTTAGCCTAAAGGGACAATTTATTTTGAAGGACTATTAATTTTGTTTCGGCATTTTGCGTCGAAAACTTTTAAAAGGCTGTATCACTTTCAAATCGTTGCCACCATATATTATCGCCCTGTCTTATATTTAAAGAAATTAAATAACTAAGAATCTGCACAAACGTATGTATGTTTCTCACATTGTAATAAACCAACGGTACCTAGAGCCATCAAAATTTGAATAACGTAATCTTCCACAGAATATACGTGGAAGCCCTAATTTGAATTTAAAATTTGTTTTATTATCGATTTCATATTTTGTAACATTTCAATAAATTTTTGATTAAAAACTCAACAATTTCAAAGCAAGCAATGGCAACACTGTACGAAAAAAAAAACATTTTTATCTCCAGCGTGCGAGACACTGTATTAGAAATTTTTACGATATGCTCATTTTAATATTAATTTGTGATATTGCTGAATAATGAGATTCCATATGGGGCCTCAGGGTTGACACATTTTTTTCCTACCAGGGCCGATTTTTTGGCCAATCTGCCACTCAGCCAACAGCATCTAATTTTAATTAAACTATTATCTAAAATGATTTAATTTTTATTTAAATACTTTTTAAATCAAAACAATATTGAAATTTTTTATTGGAAGGGATACACCTCTGTTACAGAGGTTCTTTTTTTGTTCTCCATGATTATTTCAAAATTTGGGTTAAACAATTCTATTCAAAATTGAAAATTAAATTCATTCTTTTAAACCCCAAAGGAAAATTTTGGTCTCTTTATAATGCTCTTAAATACTCAAAAGCTCCTATATGATTTTTAATAGAAAACTATAGCAAGAAAATTTATTAAGAATTCTATAAAAATTTATAGAAATTTTGTCTTACAGAATTCTATAAACTGGAGTGAATGTTTTACGTAGAATTCTGTTTGTTGTTTCCATACGCATGACACAGATTCTGTACGTGGAACCTTTAGAAACTCTGCACAAATATCTAAAATATTACACACATCTCTAAAAAATTTCTATACATAACTCTATAAAAGCTATACCTAAAATTTTATAGAACATCTTTGACCTAGCTTATAGAAAACTGGATCATAATTTCAACAGGCTTCTAAAGATTTTTTGGTACTGTTCTGTTATTTGGACTAGGTTCAGAAATATATGTATGTGTGTGTTATATGCACAAACGTACATACCTGTCTGAATCCTGTTCTGATAACAGAAAAGTACAGTTTTTTTTTTTTTTTTTTTTTATAGAATTCTCTAAAACGTTTTCATAAGAAATGTTCAGTACCAATGTATATCTCCAGAAGTACTGGTCACTATCACAGGTGATCTTCCACTACAGGATTTTTGATTTCAGAATAAACAGAAAGAACAAGTACTTAGAGAATAAATATAATTAATAAATAAAGGCACTACTTACCTCAAAATCAATGCTATCAGATTTCCAACTCTTTACCATATTTATTACTTCTTTTGCACCTGAACACAGAGACGAAAACGAATCATTTAGTACTGTAATATCCAACCTTGTGATAATTCCATTTGCATTATTCGGCATTTTAAAGAAGCAGACGATTATCTGAAGAAAGTAATAATAAAAATATATATATATATTAGCGTAATTCTTCAAGAAAAACTTCATACAAAATAAATTTTAGAATATTATTCAAACATGAAAAACATTTTAGAATATTATTCAAACATCATGTCAGAAAATATATTACTATTGTACATCTGATGCGCAACAATCGCTTCTTATATTTCCATTTAGTACTAGATTAAGTACAATTCTTTCTAATCTCACCGATTAGTTCTTCTGCATTCAGCGGTATTATTCAAGAAAAAATTTCATAGGGATGATAGCTGCCCTCATTGCGCACAGCTTTAATTCATTGCAGCATAGCTTTATGTCAACAATCTATATTTTAATAAAACTAAAGGTGCACAGGTGGATAAATATAGCTTGCTAAATGCAAATAAACTTGATATTTTCACGACGGATTATTCATAAAATAGCAAAACATGCTGCTTAGTTTTAAATGGTTACTACGTTATACAGAAAAATGAGAAGAGTATTTATATTTCTTATTTGGCTCTTAAATACATTTGCGTACAGCGCAAATTTCAGTTTATCGCACGCTTCAGCTGATAACAGAAGTAACTCAAACACCGCTGTTGCCAGATTACACACGCACAATCGTAAATGTTGCCAGTAACAATTACAGAAAAGCGCAGACGGATTAAGCTTAGGCAAATAAAAAAAAAAAAAAAAAAAGAATAAAAAAAATTCTGAAAGCTTGCAGATTTTATATTACGTGCAAAAAGGTGTTACTTTCATTTACGCACATATACACGATTCGAAAGCCATTTCGAGAGCATTTGAGCTAACGTCACTTTGGGCTAAAATATTTAAAAAGCAGCATATCTTTAGAATTTCTGATAGACAGTCACACGCGCTAGAGTTAAATATATTTTATTCCATGCAATGTTGCCTCTGAACGTGTTGAGTTTTTTTAAAACAAAATTCGTTCAAGTTTTACAAAACATTAAATAGATAATAAAACAAATTCGAAATGCATAATTCAGGCTTCTAGAGACTCATATTCGGTCGTAGAACTAAGTTATTCAAAATTTGATGGCTATAGGTACCGTTGTTTTTTCAGAGTGCGATAAACACACATACATTCATGCAGATTCTTCATTATTTAACGTCTTTAAATATAATATAGAGTGATAACATTTAGTGGCAACAATTTGAAAAGTGATTCAACGCTTGCTAGGTACAAATAAACCGGCCCCGGATTCAAATCCTGGACAAATCATGGATGTAAATTGTCTCTCTCTTCGTAGGACTTCATAGGAAGCAACTAGGGTCATAAAGTGGCCACTTCCGCCCTTAAGAGTGCTCAACGCCTATAATTAAGGCTCATATATACCAGGCTGAATCATCAGGCATTCGCGATCCCAAGTGGGAGATTTAATGGCGGCTGTGTAGTTACGGTGCAACAATTTTTTGTGATTTTTTGTGTAAAATGGGCGGATGTGCAGCTATTAATTGTTCAAATCATTCACGGAAAGGTCATACATTGGTAAAATTTCCTAAAAATGAAGAAAGGAGAAAAATATGGGTAAATAATTGCCGAAGAGACAATTGGAAACCTGGTCCAGGCGCTGAACTTTGCTTAGTAAGTATAATGTTAATTACGCCTTCATTTAGAGTTTTATATCTTCTCTGATGTTTATAATGTGCAAGTAAAGTGAAATTCTTGTGTACAATAACCTGAGTATCTGCTAATTTCTGTAATAATAGCTATAATTAAATTAGTCTAGGGTTAATGTACCCGTCGCCAAACATCGCCAATGTGGATGTTTTGAATGTGGAAAAGAAATTTCTCTTCTAATATAAAGCGCAGATTTTGTTTTCCTGTGCTAATTGTGGAATTTATACTAATGTAACATGAAAATCATTAGCATATTGAAATTTATTAAAAAATAAATAATAATTTGGAAAGTCAAGATAAATCTGAATGTTTGCTAAAGATATATGTAACATTATACTATAGTTGCAATATCGTTGGAATGATATATAATTTTTTTCTTTATTTTATAATCACTATTGTTAAAAAGTTAGATGAGTTGTTTATGCACGGTGCCCACTACTGTTTCTTGGTTAAAATAACTTCCAGAATTTTGACATTGACATCTGATGTCAGTAGAATAAATTGAATAGTATGAGACAAAATATATATAATCTAATCAATAATTGCAAGTACCATATAGTTATAATCCAGTATTATACAATTTGGCAATGGAGTAAAGATTTAGAAATGAATGCAGAACTTTCAAATAAGCACAGAAAACTTGTGGAAACTGCATGTGTATTTTTCAAAAATAATTGTATTGTTTTTAATGCATGTGTAGTGTTTTTTTTAATGCATGTGTAGTGTTTTAATGCAGTGTTGTAGTGTTTAATGCATGCATAACAATCAAATAAATCTGCCTGTAATGATGAATTTCAAAGGCCAAGCCAAAATCCTTTCATGAATTTGATACTTCTAAAGAATGTGATCTCGTCAAATTAAATCCTCATGACATTGATAAACAGTTATTACTGATCTGTGTTACAAAACAGATTTTTATACATGATAAATAATATTTTCTGAAGCGTTATTTTGTGTTGTCATCTCTAAATAAAAAATTGCCTACAAATTCAGAAAGCTACTGAACTACGTTCTAGAGTTTTTAATAACTTTAATTGGATATGTCTGTGCCGGTGTAATTTAAAAAAATTGTTGTTTAAACTGGCCTTGATGCTTTTTTTTAAAATGCATGTTGGCACTGTGCTCCCGAAATTAGGGCTATGTTTTGAATGATTTAGAGAATTAAAAATTAAATATTTCAATTAGAGCAATAAACATTACTACAATTATAACAAGAATCATAGTCTGCTCTAATTATAAATTGTATTTATTGGCCTAGTATCTTAAAAGTTGGGTGAAGTGAACTCTTATTTTCTTAATCTATTGTAAGAGTACTATAGCAAGAAATATTAATTATATATACTATAGCAAGAAATATTATTTTAGTTGTTTTTAATGTTATAGCAGAAACACTGCTTCATTTAATTTTTGGATAATGTTCTAAAGAACACTTTAAATTATAGGCAAAAAATAAATATTGGATAATTAAACTTCTGCCCAAGCTTACGAGATGCTGCTGCTGATATGTCAGATATAGTTTGTTTATTGTTTCAGTTTTTTATAATACTTAGCCTATTTTAATTACCTGCATATTTATTTATTGCTTATACTTACTTACAGTTTATGCTTGCTGCCTTTGGCACAACCTTCACTGTGTGGTTTGTTTTTGTACTTTTATTTATTTTGTATACTTTTTTTTTATTACTTTATGTATTTACAGGATCATTTTGAGGAATCTCAATTTGAAGTCACTATGCAAAGATAGGAAAAAAACTTAAGAAAAACTGCAAGTACCAACACTCTTTAGCATTCCAAATCCACCACCATCTGTAACTGATGTCCGTGTGCATAAATTTTCCCATTGTGTTACTTCATTTTATCTAAATTTCAAGGATAATTCTTTTCATTTTTATATGGCATGTTATCAGTATAAAGGCTAGTGAAAATAAATTGGTATGTGTATATGTTTTTGAAGTGTAATGCTTAAATAAAAAGATAGTGCGTGTGTTTCTTCATTTAAACAAAATTTCAAGGATAGTATTTTTCAGCGTTGTACTGTTTGTTATTTCTCAATGTAAAGGGTAACAAGGGGAAAAAAACTGGTATGGTACATCTGTTTTTTAAGCATGATAATTTTATTTATTCTTTAGTGATGCATATATAGAAGAGAGAAGGTATTTGGTCCAACTGAAGTTATAATAAATCTAATTTTACTAGATCTCTTTCTCCCCTCAGGTGTAGAAAATTTTCAAATGCAGAAAGTTTATTTGCAGAATTAATTCATTTCTGATAAACTTATTATCATTAATTTTTTATATAACATGTTATTAAGTTACATGTTTGACTACTGTGTAATAAACTTGTATTTAGGGCAAAAAATTAACTATTTTGCAGCTGGTGACTAATATCATGCTTCTAAGAATATTACTTTTAACTTTTTTTCATAATTTTTGTATTTCAGGAACATGAAACTGTTATTTTGATATACTTAAATAATAAAAGTGTGTATCTGAATCAATTAATGGATACAAATATTTTACAGTTATTTTTAGAAGATATTTGCTTCTAATAATTCATAAAGTATGTTAAAATATAGGTAAATAATTTGGTGCAGAATTCAAATTTAGGGTTTGAAATATAGTGAATCATGAGACTAAATGATTTTTATTGTCATGATTTGCCTGGGCTTAAGAATGTACTTTTTTTCGCCCGGTGGAAAATTGTCATCAAACTGTCCTGAACAGGCTTTTAGTTGATAATAACTTCCAGGCTTATCAGTACCTCCTTTTGAGTGGAGGTTATACAAATATAGTACCCAATTTAAATTACATTGTGATTGTAATAATATTGTGGTATTAAATAAGTGATTATAATTACAATTTAGATAATTGCATTGTAATTATATTACATTGTATCTGGGAACTCTTAATTTCATTACTTTATGCAATTATGTAAGTGCATAATCTAATTGCAATAATATAATCTATTCACAATTACAAAATAATTATAAATGCAGTTACATCTTAAATAGAGGCCATTTTAATACTTTTAAATTTTTTTGTACAGTAGTTTCTTGTTATAATGCTGTTCAATATATCTTCAATACTTTTGTAAATTTAACGACATTCTTTGCAATCACTGTGGTGCTTTAAAAAGAAGTTTGTTAGTTATGCTTTCTAATAATTATTAAATTAAAAATTAAGTATTATGTATAATAACTAGCAATTAAAAAAACCTTGACTGCATGAAAATGCTTTTGCTGTGTAAAATAGAAAATAAGCTTTCTTTTATGCTTTGAAATGAATTACGTGGGGTTAAGTCGTCCTTTTACAATTTAAGAATGTGGGTTAACACACATTCTTAAATTGGACAGGTTTTATCTAAATATTAGTATAAAATATATAAACTATGACTTATTTTGTAACATAACTCAAATTACAAAATTCATTCTATATACGTTCAAATTTATTATCTTTTATGGAATAACTGTTTTTTAATTTAGGTAAAAATTGCATTTTTAGAAGTATTACAAATACAATGCAACACAAAGGTGATCTGATTGGAGAGGAAGGACTTTTTATTACGGTTTCTAGTTCGTATTTATATTACATTTCGGATGAAAAGCATCCAAAACACAGAATGTTGTACTTTCTTCCTTCCATATATGTTATGAAATATTTCACACATTTAAAAGAAAAGTGTTTCTTCAGAGTCTTGCACAATTATTTCCAGATATCCTCAGACTTAAAACTGACAACATATTCTAAAGTTATTTTTTTAGTATGAATTTACAGTTTTTTATTGGAAATTTTTGTTAAAATGTCATTAAAATAAATTTATTTGCACATTCTACACGCTTTAACTATTTCCCCATTTGACACTATTGAAAGGTTTTTATTTCATATCTTATTTATTTTAGTCTGCTAACTAAACTAAAACATCTAAAGAATAAGTTATTTTGAATATGTTTACAAAATATACAC